GCTCGGTGGCGCGACTGGCTCTGGGACGGCGTGGGGCATCGGCGGCTCTGGCTCTTTACATGGCGGGGCGCAAGACAATGGAGCTTCGCGCACACACGAGGGGGAAAGGGAAAGGCAACGGGCGGTAGCGGTGCTAGCACTCGAGGCTCGCGCCCATGGTGGACGGGAGCAGCCATGGCGTGCTGTGGGACAGTGGCGTGATGCTGGGGTCCAGAGCAGGGAAAAGGAGGGGCGGCACTACGCGAGTCAACGCGGCTCGAGCGTGGATGAGCAGCACGCTCTCGCGGAGCGCCTGCGTGAGGCAAGCAGAGGAGGGAGCGGTGCCGCGGAGCAGTAGGAATGGTATGACAAGAAGGCGAGGCCGGGGTGATGGAGGCTTGGGCACGGTAGAGTACGGGGCTTCGGCTTGTGCAAGGTGAGGGTCGGCGACGAAAATTACTCGATGGCCCTGAGCAGGGCGGGGCGAGCCTGGTGGGCCTCAAGAAGGCAGAGGCTAGGGCAGCAGCAAGTGCGGCCATGGCCGGAAGGACGAGAGCGGGGCCAACGAGGAAGCAAGCTCGCGTGGCCAACTGCACGTCTAGTACAGCAACTGCAGTACCAAGCAGAGAAACAAACACGCAGAGGCAGGCAAGGACATGCAACACAGAGACAGACAAGACCGAGGCAGCAGAAATAGAAAAGGACGGAAGAAAACAACCGAGTGACCAGCCAACTTCATTAACGCCGGGACAGCGCGGCGTGTTTCACACCAACTACGTAAATTTATGAAGCGGCCAGACGGACAGCCGTCGCGGGTACGTTACCAAATTATTGTTGGGGCTAAAATGAGTCTATACATAAACATGTCACTAGACCAAGGTTGTAAATATATATTGTTTTATTTATAATGGATTTTATTTTATTTATAAAAGTTGTTTTTCATGCTTAATCTAACAGAATGAACCGTTCGCTATTTATTTGCCAGAATTATTGACAGACATTCCTAAATATCTCTACTTGCTGAATAATTTCACCTAGGCGTTTATGTGAGTCCACTAAACTGAGTCACACATGATTCGCTTATCGCATCAAGCACATTTTAAATAAAAAATTCCAAGAAACACGCTTCAAAAATTTTACTTAGGTCTAAATCGCGGTGCTAAACGAGCTCGTAACACCAGAGGTGTTACACATCCCAACAGAGGAATATTCCTGGTAGATGCGGGTTCATCCGACTCTAGCAAAACGAAGAAACCGGGCGGACCCAATTCTCGTGCTTCTGGGGTTGGGTGGCCGGAACGAGCGGGGAGCAGCAGCGGGGGCGGCGCCCGCAGCCAGGGAGCAGCAGCGAGGGCCTCGGATCAAAGAGGAGAAGTTGAGGGGCGGATTTGCCGTATTCTTGCGATGCTATAGAACTTAACGGAGGCGGCGGACATGGTCAGATGCTGTTAATGGCGGCGGCGGCGGTGACGGGATCCCATGATATCCACGGGGCCAGCACTAGGCCAACCATTGAATAGCAGGCCGTGTCGTGCCTCCTGACATGCCTAGGGAGCGCCCAAGCATGGCTCTGTGCATTGGGCCGGGCTGGCCCAGGCCCGTGAAAAACCGGGGCGTGCCGTGCTCGTGCCGGGTTAAAATAGCGTGCTTCGTGGCATGCTATCGGGCTGTGGGTTGTGCATGGCCATCTATAGCTAGCTCTAAGTATTTTTGTCATATTAAAAAAAATAGAATAGAGAGAAAAGCTAGCTCTTGATCAAGAATTAAGCTCGTACACGTATTATAAGATCATGTGAGAGTACCATGCGAAGCTATCTACATTATGAGCTATATATAAAAAATTAGCACTATTGAGGAAATCGACTTAGACTAATAACTGGCTTATGGTATTGGGGGGGGGGGTTTGCCAGATGGACTCTGCAGTACGGTTAAATAAAAAAATGCTGTAGCGGTCGGATCGTTTGCCGGTGGTCGAATCGTTTGCCGGAACGGAAACGACACGGGTTTGAAGTCAGGGGAATTCCTCGTCTGTCATTAAAAAAAGATCGTAATGTCTTGTGTGTTTTTAGAAAAGTTCAACGGTCTTCGGTGTCATTGCTCTAACTTTTTTGTGCCCTCCATGCCAATGCCGTCAGTTTGGGCTCTAACACCGTCAAACTGCAGATGTGAAAAGTCAAAAATACCCTTAAGTCTAAATATGTCATTAATTTTTTTGAGCATCTTAACGACTTCAAATGAAAAAGCTCGAAACTAGAAAGTTATATATCTCGTCGAGATCTATAATTTTTATATAAAAAATATCTTAATTTAATTCAAAAAAAATATAATTTGATATAATTAATATATCTTAGAAACATCATATCTTTTTTTTAATAGTTCACCCACCACGTGGGTTTGAAGTTCTCCGGGGGAGGTTGTACTTGCACAGGCTGTATCTAGACGGGTCGACCACGTTAAATAAAAGTACTCCGTATTTTGAATAGTACTCCATGGGGCCGCAGGTGCTAAAGATGGCAACGGGCAATATCAGCGCAGATAGTGGCTTCGCACGCCCGCGCCCACGGGCAAAATCTTGTGCCCGCACCCGTGCCCGCCACCCGCCACGGGCCGCAACTTGTGCCCATGCCCGCTATCCGCGGGCATGCCCGCGTACCCGCCAGATGGGGAAGACAATGGTGGCCTGCAGGGCGGAGATGGCGTCTAGCGCGGGCGGGACGGTGGTGTGGGGGGCGGAGATGGTAGCCTATGGGGCCAGCACTCCAGCAGTCGTTGCCCGGGAGACGTGTGGGCAGCACGGGCCTTCCTTGCGCGGCCCTCCGAGCTACGGCAAGCTCGCCGATGCGCCATCCTGCGACTGCACGCCACTCCCACCGTCGTGTGTCGCTCTGCCATGCCGAGCACGGAGATGCAGAGGGCCATTGGAGAGAGGGCATGGGGAGATGGTGCGACCGAGCTTCATCCGCGAGCTCCTCGGCGACCCGGCCTCTAGATCCGCGAGCTCCTAGAACCGGCGGGGAGGAGGACCACCGGTGGGTGGAGAAGGAGTGTCGGTGGGGGAGGAGGAGGAGAACCGACGGGGAGGAGGACCACCGGCGAGGAAGGATGAGGAGTACTGGCGGGTGAGGAGGACGGGGAACGACGAGGAGGCGGTGAGAGGGACTGGAGCAAGGCTGGCTCGGGCCTGGCTCGAGCCCTAGCCTAGAGCGGGCGGTGGCTGAGCGCGCTACGCCGCCTGCGCGGTCGCGCTGAGCCCCTGGATGAGCGGCGAGCGGGAGGGGGTTGGAGGCCAGCGGCCATCAACATTCTGGCACGGGACGGGGCGGGGCGGCGGGCTACGGCGCCGCGACGGTCGCAAAGGGCAGGGGCGCGAGCGGATTGGCCGCGGCGCAGTCGCGCAGTGTGATTCCGCGAAGGGATGTGTCACGGGCGAACCCTGGTTGCGGCACTGGGGTGGCCGGGTGGGGATTCTAGGGTTTCTGTCTTCCAATATATACTTGGTTGGCCATGACCCCACATGGCAGGTAGGTAAGGCGGGTTTGCGGATACGGATAGGCTATTTTCTTACCCGTTAACAAATGCCCGTTGGGTTTAAAACTCTGCTCGCACCCGTGCCCGCGGATGCACTTTGTCGCCCATATCCGCGCCCGCCGGGTTTGATATCCGCGGGTACGCGGGTATTCTGTGCCCGTTGCCATCTTTAGTAGGCGCGGCGAGGCGGCGAGTGCGGAGCTCCGGGCAGGCAGGACCGACGCACAGCTGGGGAGGAAGGGTGGCGACGGGCGATGCTGTGCGACCGTGTGATGCGATAAGGTAGGAGAAAAAAATAAAGAGAAAAAAAGAAAGAAAAAAGGAAGAAAAAAATAAAAGGGTGTTTTGGACATTTTCTCTTTTTCGCTAAAAGGAGAAGCTATTTTGCCAAACGATAAAAAAACAGTTTCAGCTTTCAAAGTAAATCTACTCTATAGATGAAGCTATAACTGAAGTTGTTTTGGCTGGAGTTGGAGTTCTACCAATTTAGCCCTTACTGATACAGCTACTCCTGTCGTTGACTAAATCAACAATGATGCATGGTGCCTAAATAAATCAATAAAATGCATGTAGTAAAAACGTCAGTTGGGTCTATAAATGTTCATACAGCTCGGGACACAATGGTCCGGTCCGAAGCACGCCATTTTAGCCAACACGAGCACGGCACGGCCCCGCCCAATACTCAGGGCCGTGCTTGGGCTGCTGCTCGGCGGGCGGCACGGCACGCCCCGATCCACAAGGGTCGCCCCGGTGGCAGCCCAACCTGCTAAGATCTCAACAGGCTAACCCTAACTCTCTCACCCTCTCACTCTCTCACCCCTCCCGCGCAGCCTCCTCCCAATCCCAGCACCAGCCGGCAGTAGCGCCACACTCGGTTGCCCGCTCGCCTCCTTGGCTCCTCCCCTTCTCACCTCGCAGACTCACAGCTCGTGCTTCCCTCTCGCTCGCCTCTGTCCCGCGCACGGCGGCGCCTCCCTCACGCGTGGCCGCCGTCTCCCTCCCGCACGCGATGTCCGCGGCCAGATTCAAGCGCGCGGTCGCCGTCTCGGAACTCCACCCCGCGCACGGCGTCCGCATCCTCATGCCTCCCCACGTGGCCCCACCTCTAGGGCAAACGCGCCGGCGGCCGGATCTGCCTCGGGGGCGAGCGGCAAGCGTGCCGAAGACGGCCGCTCTGCCTCCTACTCTCCCCTTCCCTCTCTCTCTATGTGGGCCTCGGGCCAGCTTGGCACGATGGATGGGCCGAGTTTCTCAGGCCGGCCCGGCTCGAAAAACAACCCAGCAGGCCATGCCTGGCCGTTGGTGAGACACGACGCCCGCCTCGGCACGGCCCGGGTGGCACGGTGTGCGGTGCCGGCCCGACCCCCTTCGGGCCGTGCCTAGCACGGGCCCATGCCGAGCCAGGCCGGCCCGGTCCGTTGGCCATCTATAGTTGGGTCGATGCGTCCCTTTCCCTTCCCTTGAGGCTTGAGCCGAGCAAAAGTCGGCAGGTCATGGCCGCAACGAGCGCGGTCGTCGATCGGCTCCTACGCCGGCTTGCCGCTATCGGTCCGGACGAGCTGCCGTCGGCTGTCGTGGAGGACATGATCCATGTGAAGAAAGCTCTCTCCCGGTGGCACGTTGTTCTGGAAAGTACGGAGAAGCAACTCTTCGAAGGGGTCAGCGGAGAGTACATGGAGATGAGCAAGGCCCTGATGTCCAAAGAGAATAAGATGAGGAAGATAAAGCAGATAGCCTATTACATCGAAGATATTCTGGATGAATTTGAGGGCTGCGGAAGAAGCGGATCTGGAGGGAGCAGCGGAAGGTCAGAGGTAACTATAGCATCTCACAGTTTCATGGGATTTTCGAAATATATACACAACTTTATATAAAAAAAATTGTTCAGTTGCTTTAATTTGGCGTCTGTTCCCCTGTTAACATTTTTTCGCTATAATTGAAGTAGAAACGCAGATTGACTGCTTCGCTTACATAACACAATTTCGCACACATCAGCGTGTTTCCACAATTGGGCCTGTTCGGCTGTCATTGCTGCACAGCAGCAGCGATGAATGCTGTCAGAATGGTAGTGTATAGGTCCGATAGAGGTACAACCCCGGCAAGGAGTGGTATGGTCGGAGGAACTATCGAGTTGATCTTAACAAAGTGGAGCGCACATGTATGATTTCTCAATTGTTGTATGCCCTTCGCTCACACATGATAACTGCTTGCAAAGTTACAGGAGTAGACCATGAGAGTTCCATCTTCATGTCTCCTTTCTAAGCAAGGGCTAATACTATTAAGGTGTGAAACTCGAGGCCCCACCCCTAGCTTGATCCAACACAGTATGCAATTTTGCTCTTGCTGATCAAACTCTCCTCATGGTTTATATAAATGTGCGCCCTGTTCGTTTGGGCTTGTTTGGCTTATAAGCCATGGCTGAAAGTACCGTTGGCTGGTTTGGTGTGAGAGAAAAATACTGTTCGTTGGCTGATAAGCCATGGCTTATAAGCCAAATACGACCAAGCGAACAGGCTGGTGATGAGCTCTGAGGAATCTAATGTTACAACCTTATCATCCTACACCACATGTTTCACATGGATAAAAGCTACAAGCACAGAGCACATGACATTAGGAGTCCAATGTTACTTTTTCTCAGTGCCGTGTCACCTCATTCTCTGAGAATAATCGACTGCACAAGGGAGAAGGGACAGCCTACACGGACCTTTTTCAATGATGCAGTCTCATTTATCAGTCTTCTGTCACTCCAGCACCGATCACTTTGGATAGGAATCCAATGCGACAATCCAGTGATACAACCTCATTATAAAGCTAATTATCAAGGCACTGTTTTCAGTGTGTTAGTAGTGCAACAACTATGATGAGCAGAGGTGAGTAGAGTTGCTGGAGTTGGTTCTGTTTTGAAGCAAACTGCCTTACCTTTCATTGCATATAGTCATACATATTTATAGACACATGTGAAGTCATATTTATAGACACATGTGAAGTCGGATTGTATAACCGACCTTACTACTGCCATTGCTGCAGTTCTATTGTCCCAGCTACTAATAAAAACAGATCTGAAATTCTGAATACTATACTGGGCAGCTGCTAGTTTGACCTGACCTATCCCCCTACTGCTGTGGTAAGCAAAGTCTAAATTATATTGACTTGTATGTAAACTGTCACAGACAGCTGCCTATTCTTACTACCTAAGGAAAAAGAGCCGACTTACACATATGTTGGCGGCTAGCAAAAGACAATATACTACTAATTCTAGCTAGATAAGCAGGTGACACAGATTATATCTAACATAGTGGAGCTTTTCTGGGAAGCTAGCTTTCTAGAGAATCTGGCGCTTGAGATCTAGGTGTTTGGCAATCCTGATTTTCTGTAAGGAGATTGTCCTGACTCCTGAGTGCGAAAGGACCTGAATGCCCTTTCAGCTGATGATGTTTTGTTTGATTGCGGAATAACACGTATTGCATAATTTCAACTATTTTTTTTGCATTTAATTTAATATTTCTATCATTTTTCCTAGAAAAACCAGAATGATTAGCTCTTCATGTAGAGCAATATTCAAATGTCTTATTTGTGTGTGCATTGAATTTGGCCTCCATGTTAGTTAATCCAACTCGCCAAAGGGCGCCTAGCTCAAACGGTTAGGTGACCCAACGGCACTCCTCAGGTCCTGGGTTCGACTCCCCGTGAGAGCGAATTTCAGGCTGAGGTTAAAAAAATCCCCTCGTCCGTCCCCATAACCAAAGCACTGGGGGGGGGGGGCACCGGCCCAATTCACACTTGGGCGATGGAAAGCCACCGTGTAAGGGTGGGGGCGGGGGTTCGGTGGTTTTCTCGGCCGGGTGAGAAGGTCTTTCTTCTTATTTGTAATGCTGCGGGGGCAGTCTTAACCCCCCCCGGTTGAGTTTTTTTTTAGTTAATCCAACTCTACACAGACATTTTTTTTTCTCGAACACGCAGGAGAACTGCATATCATTATATTAAGAAGAGTAGAAAGGTGGGAAAGAAACCCCATACAACACCGCACATTCACGCCTTAAGAGAAACTAATCGCCTGTAGAACAGTTTACAACGACCCCTGACCTACAAAAATAAACACTCGGGCAGCAGGCTAGTCAGGTAAGATATACCCTTGGCACCTGCATTCCCCCACAACCTCAACTCATCGGAAGCAAGAGTTAAAACTCTATTTAGATTTGGTGAAACTCCATCGAGCACAGTGATTTCTGTGATTCCAGAGTGTCCAAGCTCCTAAAGAGACAATAGAGTTGAAGCCTTTTCTTGCCAATTTGTCAGAATAGTGGCTAAGGCATGCCCCAGGCCTAAGGGCCTAGGCTGCATAGATGGTATTGATGTATTAGGGAAGGTTCCTCTGATTGGGATCCTGTTGATGTATTAGGCAAGGGTCTTCTGATTGGGATCCTGTTGATGTATTAGGCAAGGGTCCTCTGATTGAGATCCTATGTATTAGGCAAGGCTGGGATTCTCTCAGGTTTACATATCCCCTGGACCTTGCCTATATAATGTGTACACCAGCCCCGTGTCAATACAATCAATCATTCATCTGTAATCATGTCTCAGAATCCACCAGCAGCCCTGCTAGCTCTGTCCCACCAGGCCTCAAAGGATATTTCACCTGGCCGGGGTGAGATGCTTTGCATGTCAACCTTTTGCAGCAGGCCAAACCAAAAATCTCGTGCAAAAACAGTCTACTAGAAGATGATTTACAGTCTCAGCGTCTTGGTCACAATAAAGGCAACCAGAGGGATGGTCAAGACCCTGCCATGCTAGCCTATCTGGCTGTCCAGCACACAACAACAACAACAACAACAACAACAAAACCTTTAAGTCCCAAACAAGTTGGGGTAGACTAGAGTTGAAACCCAGCAGAAACAATCAAGGTTCAGGCACGCGAATAGCTATTTTTCAAGCACTCCTATCTAAGGCTAAGTCTTTGGGTATATTCCATCCTTTCAAGTCTCCTTTTATTGCCTCTACTCAAGTCAACTTCGGTCTTTCTCTGCCTCTCTTCACGTTACTATCCTGTCTTAGGATTCCACTATGCACCGGTGTCTCTGGAGGTCTCCGTTGGACATGTCCAAACCATCTCAACCGGTGTTGGACAAGCTTTTCTTCAATTGGTGTTACCCCTAATCTATCACGTATATCATCGTTCCGAATTCGATCCCTTCTTGTATGACCGCAAATCCAATGCAACATACGCATTTTCGCGACACTTATCTGTTGAACATGTCGTCTTTTCGTAGGCCATCATTCTGCACCATACAACATAGCAGGTCTAATCACCATCCTATACAACTTGTCTTTTAGCTTATGTGGTACCCTTTTGTCACATAGGACACCAAATGCTTGGCGCCGCTTCATCCACCCTGCTTTGATTCTATGGCTAACATCTTCATCAATATCCCCGTCTCTCTGTAGCATTGATCCTAAATATCGAAATGTATCCTTCCTAGGCACTACTTGACCTTCTAAACTAATATCTTCCTCCTCCCGAGTAGTAGAGCCGAAGTCACATCTCATATACTCAGTTTTAGTTCTACTGAGTCTAAAACCTTTGGACTCTAAAGTCTTCCGCCATAACTCCAGTTTCTGATTCACTCCTGTTCGACTTTCATCAACTAGCACTACATCGTCCGCGAAAAGCATACACCAAGGGATGTCCCCTTTTATGTCCCTTGTGACCTCATCCATCACTAAGGCAAACAGATAAGGGCTTAAAGCTGACCCTTGATGTAGCCCTATTCTAATCGGGAAGTCATCCGTGTCTCCATCACTTGTTCGAACACTAATCACAACATTGTTGTATATGTCTTTAATGAGCCCGATGTACTTCGTTGGGACTTTCTGTTCAACATTGTTGTATATGTCTTTAATGAGCCCGACGTACTTCGTTGGGACTTTATGTTTGTCCAAAGCCCACCACATAACATTCCTTGGTATTTTATCATAAGCCTTCTCCAAGTCAATAAAAACCATGTGTAGGTCCTTCTTCTTCTCCTTATACCGCTCCATAACTTGTCTTATTAAGAAAATGGCTTCCATGGTTGACCTTCCGGGCATGAAACCAAATTGGTTCACAGAGACCCGCGTTATTGCTCTCAAGCGATGCTCGATAACTCTCTCTCATAGCTTCATAGTATGGCTCATCAACTTAATTCCCCGGTAATTAGTACAACTTTGAATATCCCCTTTATTCTTATAGATCGGTACCAATATACTTCTTCTCCACTCGCCAGGCATCTTGTTCGATCGAAAAATATGGTTAAACAGCTTGGTTAGCCATACTATAGCTATGTCCCCAAGGCATCTCCACACCTCGATTGGGATATCATCCGGTCCCATCGCCTTACCTCCTTTCATCCTTTTCAACGCCTCTTTGACCTCAGATTTTTGGATTCTCCACACAAAGCGTCTATTGGTGTTATCAAAAGAGTCATCCAATTGAAAGGTTGTGTTCGTATTCTCACAATTGAACAATTTATCAAAATACTCTTGTCATCGATGTCGGATCTCATCCTCCTTTACCAAGAGATGTTCCCTTTTATCCTTAATGCACTTAACTTGGTTGAAGTCCCTTGTCTTTCTCTCACGAACCCTAACCATCTTATAAATGTTCTTCTCTCCTTCCTTCGTACTCAAATGTTGGTAAAGATCCTCGTATGCTCTACCCTTTGCCACACTTACAGCTCGCTTTGCAGTCTTCTTTGCCACATTGTACTTCTTTGTGTTGTCCACACTCCTGTTATGGTACAAGCGTCTATAGCATTATTTCTTCTTCTTAATGGCCCTTTGGACTTCCTCGTTCCACCACCAAGTATCTTTAGCCTCGCCTCCACTTCCTTTGGTTACT